GTCTTCAAATGATGACTTCATGTGGTTCTGGAAGTTTCCAATTTCCTTTTCCACAATAGCATAATTGCTTTTTATGCAGGATGCTAAATGGTTCCTGTACCTTCCTATTTGTTCACCGAGGTGCCTAATCTTCTCATCTACATATTCCTGGAAGGGTATATTTGACTGTTGAGGGTACGGGTAGTCATAACCAATAAGGCCGGTAAGGATAGGATCAGGAGAGGAAGAATTATGCAAAGCTGCCTGTTGCGATACCAATTGTCCTACTGCTTCGTGCCTATTCTCACAACGAATATCGAATTCCAACAAAAGTTGCTTGACCCTAACTTCTAGGCTATTCACCCGACGCCACAATGCATCGGTTTGCTCACCAAGTTGGGAATTTTGATGATTACTCGTTAGAATGAAAATTTGAGCAATTTCAGAGGTTAACGAATCAAAAATGCGTCTAATTCTTACAAATTGATCATGATTTTTGTCCTGGGCGGCAAAAATGATCTCGATATCCCTATTCAGAACGTTTAACTGGTTACCTACTTTTTTACGACGACGATCCGCATTCACAGATTCAAAACGTGGAATCATCCAACAAGGTAAGTGAGGCAAAATATACTTTGTTACCAGACTATTCACCAGGACACCGAGGAAGAGGAGGACTGCAGCGATTCCAAATACTTCCATCATGAAGAGAAATCCCCCATACCACCATGATGACGCTACGAGGGGCGCTGTTGCCTCTGAGGTCACGTTTCCCTTGAGGTTGGTCAGCCCGGTCATGTCGACGAAGCCGAAGAGTTGAGTCAGCATTCCCATGATGTCGGATGAGGTTGTACCATCCAGGAAATGGAGTAATATGTAATTTAATACGTAAAACACACTTTCCACTGCCAACGACTCAAAACTGTTCACAAACTCACTGTTTTTGCCCTTCGCACTTTTTATCGCGAAGGATTTCCAAGTTTATTATTGCACTTTTTATTACTAAGGGTTTCGTAGCACCAATTTGTAATGCTCCCTATTCGATTATGGGATTGCGTGTCCTGATTCACATCCACTTTCGCGGATGCCCCTTTTCTTTGTGACGTGCAAGAAATTTGTAGTAGAAACTCACTTTTTTACAAGAATAATGAATAAATTTATTTACATCAATACCGACTGAAAAATATTGACTTTACAGAAATGCTCGTATTATAAATACGTGGGAGAGCTAATGCTATAATTTATATTTTAACTAATTATCTAGACAGGAACTTATTATTAAGTTTCCGAAGCCTTAAACCTTGAACTTGATCTTGATGATCACTAAAACTAACCTGCTGATCCTGAATCTAAAACTACACTACTCTTCTTCTCTCTGCTTACTCTATATATACGTGATCACATAAGCCACGCCTACTTGATCACTACCTTTACTTACGCTACATATGCACAAACTACGCCCTCATGATCATGATGATCATGATGACGTAGGCATCATTCTGTGCTCCTCATTCCTATCCTCTCTTCCCCTTCGTGATCTCCTCCTGCACACAATATGGTTTGGACACACATGAGAGGCGAGATACATATGAAAACTACATCTATGTATTTTGAATCCCTTGACCTTTGAAATGCTGATGTCACATTTACATCAGCGTTCAAAAGGTTGCAAACTAGAGAATCATAATTTGTTGTCTATCGAATGTCAGGGGGTGGTCCTACGCCCCACCAAGTGTATATGTGCTGACTCCACTTGTTGCCACATTTCCAACAATATATATAAAAATTTGGAATTTTTCAAGGAAAGCATGGTTATGAAAAACCCCACGTTTTACGTCATAGAACTACCACTACCCACGGGTGTTTACTCGGGTGTACTGGGTTTCACTCTATGTATTTGCACAAGTTGAAGAAAAAGTGTCCAGAGAACTGAATTTCACTGAATTTAAGGTAAACCCCAGCAAAACCCAGGGTCATTTCATCTCTCCCTTAATTCAAGTATTAATACATACCTACCAGTTTACAAAACTGGTTTGAAACCTACGCCACACAAATGAATGTAACTGTAATAACCATTAACTAAAAATTAACTAATTATTCATCCCCTGTCGCCATTTTTCACCCATGACGCCAACATTTAGTCGATGGTCTACCTTTTCTGCACGAACCATAAGCAAGCCTACATTTCGCACACGTTGGGTAGGAGGATTCCATAAATCCGTCTACTAATCCACACATCCCCTTATTTTATGCGACGAGGGGCACAATGGTGTAATATTATGAAACAAAGCTGTTTTCAGCCATGCATGTGATGCAATTTTGTATACTCTGGATCGCCTCACTTATTATTGGGACACTCGTCTCGAGCATTTGTCTCTCATTTGTGTGAGTGCAAGTGAGGCGAAGAAAATCCGAACGGGGGATTTTGAAGGAAGGACACGTCACTCCGTGGCAGGACAAGATACAGATCATGCATGAAGGGCTTACAGAGGACGATGTGACATTCACCAAGCAATATCCGCTTACTCCATGATGCTGGGAAAGCATCCTAAATAAAGCTCTAAAATCCACGAGTCCACGAGTTTACGACCCAATGCATCCGAAAAATTTGCAATATCTCGACCCTCAATAAATGTCGGGCAAAAAAGTGGGACGTTCTCTCTCATATGTATCCAACCTACTACTTGAATGAGCGTAATTTGGCCATATGTAATTTGGCCATATGTATGACACGTGTCTTCATTAAAAGCGAGAGATTTGTTCTTATATTTCACTAATTTGACAAGTATTTTAATTTCCGGTGGAAATTTGAAAAAACTACGTTATTTTCCGTCCGGTGCGTCTTTATGGAAATCCACGAGTAGAAAAATGGCACACATTTTTTTGCAGACCAATTTTCTGCCCGTAAATTTTCACACGTGTCGTCAGTAAATGGCTGCATACACATGTATCCGTGTACCACTGACCTTTCGCCTCCTGGTGGTTTTTCTCCACGAGGCAGAACTTTAAAAGGTGAGATTTGCCAAGTTTTCACCACTCTGGGGGCCTTGCAGAAAGTATTTGCAATTTTTTCTAGTAGGGCAAGTCACTCCCATGTCATACTAAATCGTCGTATTGGCTGCATCGAGGTCGCAAAATGTGTCACACCCCTCCTGCCGGTATCGACCCTTCCCCTTGCACAGGTTGTTACGTCACTTGCTTGGTTAAAGTGAAGTCATGTCATGTAGCATTGTTTTCTCTGGGAGATTACGTGTCGCAGCTGAACAGAAGTCAGTTGGAGAGACCTGAGACCACTGACACCCCGCAGGTGGTGGTGGTGGTACGGCAGCTCTTTCTGCATGGCGTCAACACTGCCTGGTGACACTGAACGAATTAAGTTATAACTTCATCTCTCTCTCGAAACTAGTTGCCGGCTGCCCCTCGGCATAAAACTGTTTACATTATTCTTCTTCTTCTCACTTGAGCAGGAGCGTCGGCTGGCTAAGTAACTCTGACGGTGTAGAGGTGATGACTTTAGGGGTTCAAATTGACTTATCATCAATTGCATGGTTACTTCATTGAAGGCATGGCGGCTGGATAGCCCAGTGTTTCGGGGGAGATTAGGCAGGTGGGTGAAATCATGAATTTTCGCCCCCATGACTCTTGATTTTCCGGATTTTCGAACAAGAAATGTATTTCATTTTTAATTTTTGGTGAAAAATTGACGACCTGACTTCGAATTATTTGTTGGTTTTGTTGGAAAATGACGGAAACCTTGATTTCATCCACTTAGTGTTTCACTTTCCCCGGAAACCCTGGACCCAGAGGAAAGCAGTGGTTCTTTCTCTTGCCTCTCCGCCTCGAATGGAAGTTGATGTGATGAATGCTTAATTAATTTACGAGAACATCTCCTCCTCCTCGTCCACATTTTTCATGGTCATCATGATTCACCATCACGACTTGTCGACTAATTCTGAACCGTCATATTTCGTTCAAGGGGAAGAAACGAGACGTTTAGCAACTTGTTCTTCTTCCCGAGTTGAACTTTCTCTTGGTGAAAGTGGAGAGCAAGCCGGCCTCTTTTTTCAGCAGGGTTTCATTTCTTGCACCATTTTGACCATGCACTGCAAGAAATTCCGTGAAATAAGCTAATCGACATAAGCTCGATGCATGCTTTTTTTATTTTGTATAATTTTTGGTGCATAATCCCGTAAAAAATTCGTATAGGTTTTATTCCGCTGAACTATATTTGCATAATTCCGCATTTTTTTCTGCACTAATCGCTCTGCTTAAAGGTTTTGTGCAAAAAATCGGCCAAGTTTCTACAGAAAATCCGTCCAAATCTTTCGTCCTTTTGTACTAACACTCAATTACAAGAATTGTCCACTCGATGGCGCTTATTTCCAGCATTTTTGCAACAAATTATCCCTTCAAAAACAATTTCTTCTCCCCGTGTTTTTATTTTTCCACGGCAAACACTGTGCCTACTTATTACTCCTCAAACCCTCAATATTTCTTGACAGCTCCGTAATAATATAATGGGCTCATTTAGTCCGCTCTTGCTCTCTTTCTCTGTCCAAAAATCGTGCATGTATCGATTGGAGAATACCCGATAATTGGTTACCCTCTCTCAAACTCACCTCTATTCATGCCCCAACCACCACACCACTCACTTATCAGCACGTCCTTCCTAAACAAGTGTGTCCTCCTCGCTCAACCCAAACTTTGAATCCAATTCCCTCCCAAAAAAAAGAAAAAAAACTAATCTGAAAAATTAGGAAATTCACTTTAAACCCAGATTCTTCAAGCTCTTGTCAAAAGCATTTCTCCAGATTTTGCCTGCAACACGCCAAACATAATTTGCCTGCCTCTATTAAAGCTTCTCTCTCTCTCTGATGTAACAAGAAGAAGCCGTCCAGTTTTTGGAGAAAGCAGCAGCAGCGTCTGCCTGGCTGAGGGCGTATGCGTGCCGTGAGGGAGAAATGTATATAAATTTGAGGCAGCCGTGGCTCCGTGAGATCAGTCAGTTCCCATGTCCCGTCGTCGCAGCGTCGGTTCTTCTTCACCTTCTTCTTTCCGGTATCACTCTGCCCTCGTCAAATTTCTGGGAATTTCCTCTCTCATAAATAAGTGCAGAAATATAAAATAAAATAAAATAAAATTCCACCCTGGAGGAGTTCTGATTTTTTTTCGTTTCCTGAAAATATCTTGGCGTGCATGTAACAAGTAGACCATAATTTTAGCACGTAATTGAATCTCTCCTCCCGAAAAAGCTGGTTGAATAGAGTGTCATCACTAAATTTGATTTCGTCTCAATTAAGCCCCCGACTCATTGTACGGGGTGACTGACTGACAGCGTTTCAAGTGGAGGCAGGCATACACACACCCCATGCCGAGGAGGAAAATTATGACGTGACAGTCGTCTCAAATTTCGGCATACTTTTTTTCTTCTCCAGTGTCAAAGTGTGGGTGGTGGTGACGAATTTGCGTGAAAAGTGTGACGCTGGACTGGATTTTTACGTAAAGATGTGATGTTAAAGAGCTTTAAAAGAGAGAAAAAAATACACACTGTAAGCTTTCTTAAACTTTTTATGTAAGCATAATTTCATACTTTGTTACATAATGTAAGGAAAGTGGGCAGCTCATTTGCATATTTACGATTAATCGATCCCAATAATAATAATGATAGGGATAAATATGTAATATGTCATTATTACTTGGGATCTCGAATGTGGTGAATGATCGTATTTGCGAGGAGGGCGATAAGGCGATATATTTAGTTGATCGACACAGATTATTGTTTGCATATCGATATTGATACCGTCTCGATAAGTAATTAATACGAAACTAATTTTGCCCCTGTTTTAAGTTCAAGGTTGTCATATTTTTTATGTAAGCACGATGGTTTCGTGTCGAGACGAAGTTATATTCTTGATGGGATATCATGTCGAGAGAAAATGTCAAACCGTGTCACCTCCTTCATGACGGAGCTACATATTTACCAGTTTGGTTAATATTTTACGTAAGGGGTGTGCAGCAACGGTGGGACGAAAGTTTGTCGCAGGTTGACCCGTTACTAGGATTTCATGCGTGCTTTTAAGGCAGAGTCTAGAATTGTTTCAGACTAGTTTTAGGGGAGAAAATTCGTTTAAAACGGATGCAAAATTTGTTTCAAACAGTTTAAAAAAATTCAGTTCAAGCTTTACAAAAATTGAGTGCAAACAAATTCAATTTAACAAAAATCAAGCTAAAATTTTTTACATAAAGTCAATTTTTTGTAAATCAGCCAAATGTTTCATGATGAAACAAACTTTCAAAGCCAAAATTTCCACAAAAAATTTTAACGGCTAGACTTTAGTTAACCGAGGGTCTCCGATGGGGTAATCTGATACGTCATTTTGTTCGTCTCGGCGAGCTGAACAAGAATATCCAAGCGCGAAAGCGCGGAAACGTCCCGTTCAAAAGTTATGGCGGGGTAAAGTTTCGAATTTTTATTGCATTTTTGGACGTTTCGGAGAATTCTAAGACTTTGTCTCACTTTCCCCCGTGGCGGGAAATTTTTTGGGGCGAAATGAGATTCTTGGGGTAACGTGAGATTTCATGTTTTTATTGTAGAAATCGAATTCTAATCATTTTCCTCCATGGCGGGAACTTTTTGGAGTGAAATGAGATTTTTGGGGTATCGTGAGATTTGCATTTTTTAGCGGGGCGGGGCTCATCCAACTTGTTTACGACCAACCTGGAGCCCCGCACTTTTAGACCGCGAGCGAAGCGAGCCTAGAAAGTGGGCAAGCGGGGGCCCCGCACGTATAGACCGCGAGCGAAGCGAGCCTAGAAAGTGGGCAAGCGGGGGCCCCGCACGTATAGACCGCGAGCGAAGCGAGCCAAGAAAGTGCGAAAGCGGGGTCCCCGCACGTTTAGACCGCGAGCCTGGAAAGTGCGAAAGTGGGGGCCCCGCACTGTTACTAATTATGTCCAATATTGGGGTATTGTTCGTATTTTAGCGAGCGAAGCGAGCAGGTTAGGTTAGATTAGGTACGCGGAAAGTGCTACCTAGGAGAGCTAGCTAGTAGTGCTACCTAGGAGAGCTACCTAGAAGTGCTACCTAGAAGAGCTAGCTATTAGTGTTACCTAGGAGAGCTAGCTAGTAGTGCTACCTAGGAGAGCTAGCTAGTAGTGCTACCTAGGAGAGCTAGCTAGTAGTGCTACCTAGGAGAGCTAGCTAGTAGTGCTACCTAGGAGAGCTACCTAGAAGAGCTACCCAGGAAAGCTAGCTAGAACGGTGTTGGGTGGTCCCGCCCCGCCAAAAAAACGCAAATCTCGCGTTACCCCAAGAATCTCATTTCGCCCCAAAAAATTTCCCGCCCCGGGGGAAAGTGAGACAAAGTCTTAGAATTCTCCGAAACGTCCAAAAATGCAATAAAAATTTCAAACTTTAACCCGCCATAACTTTTGAACGGGACGTTTCCGCGCTTTCGCGCTTGGATATTTTTGTTCAGCTCGCCGAGACGAACAAAATGACGTATCACATTACCCCATCGGAGACCCTCGGTTAACTAAAATTTTTCCATTTTAACCATATGAATTCTAATGTTCAATTTCCATTTGAGATGAACTGGAATATTTGCATGTGCAAAAATAATCGGTTGAAACGCTGCTTAGTCGTCCCCAAAAAAGACCCCTTCCTTTCCGCCCAGCCCTTAACTAACTAACCATGATTATACCCTTCCATTTGCAGGAGGACGAGCTCATCGACTCTGTTTTAAGACTGTGACCGTGCCAAATACCCAGAGACCAGGGGCAACCCCTGGTGGCGGAGAGAAGCCCAACCTTAAAGTGAAAGTCTTTAGCAAGAAACCATCCAATTTTCGAGTGATACTCCAATTTGTAAACTGTCACTTTCTCCATTCTCTCTCTCGTCGTCGGTGTGGTGCAATTAATCCTGAGAAAATTACGTGTGTGTCACCCACCAGCAGACTAAACCAAGGTTGAAAAAATGATGGAGAAAGTAAAGTTGCACAATTTTTAACCTTTTGGGTCCCCTCCCAAAGAAAAACGTGCCCCGTGGAGAGTTTAGTTAATTGTTTATTGTGTGCTGCGGGACTGGATCAGATTCCGATTTAGATTAGAGGAGAGACATTCTGGGAACAAAGTGGTTTTGCAGAGTGCCCGCTTTTCCCCACGTTTTGAATGATGATCACATCTCCTTCCTCCGATGAGACGTTTTTCGCAACACGAAAGAGAGCAGACTGACTGAGATAAATTGGTCCTTGATAAAGTGCTGGTAAGTCGAAATTGCGTCACTATTCATCACTCATTATGTCCTCCTCGTGCCCAAAGTGGCAAAAGAAATTGCCACATGCATACATAAAATGTGACGAGGTGGTTGAAATGACAGAGTTTTGGGAGCGAATAATTTGTGGGGGGGGAAAAACAGGGACAAACAATAAAGACCTGTGCCGTTTTTGCCCCCAATATTTTTCGCATCCATCTTTGACGCGACTCTAAAATCGAAGCAAAATGCTTTTATTTCCGAATAATGGCCAAAAAAGGTGTAAATGAAGGCGATCTCATGCACTTTTTACCAGTGCACAAAAAAAGAAAGCAAGGTTTCCCTCCGAAAATTCGAGTAAGCGTCTTCGTACATATTTAGCCTGAAAAGAATTGAATCATAAAATGACGCAATTTTTCGATCGAGTTTAAATTATTATGCGAATTAGATATATTCAAAAATCTAAGTATCTAAAATGCATTTCTTGCCGAACAATCGCCCAAAAAGGGTAAAAATGAACCAAATCTTATGCACTTTTTACACCCACAAAAAGTTTTTCCTTGCCACATGAAATCTCGAGTAGGCGTCTTCTCGTACATATTTATTCTGAAAAGATTGAACGACACAATTTCGCGATCGACGCGAGTGAGTGAGCGAGCGAGTCTCAATTATTATACGAATGATAACACGATTCTGCCATATTTTCCATAAAAGTCCGTTTAAAACCTCATTTTCCTCTGATTCAGAGTGACACTAAGCGTACGTACGTGCATTATATGCGTGTCATGCATTTACATCACTTCACTTACGTACGGCGAGAAAACAGCGTGTGTTTTCTTAACTTTCTTGCTTTTATACGGATTGGAGCGATGACGGATGTATGTGCACGAGGGCGATGAAGAACGCCAATTAAGTGATGTCTTCTGGTCTTTTTTCTCTCTGCGAAAAGAAGATGAACATGTGCATCACATTTTTTTTGTCTTCTTCTTATTACCGTGTGGTGTAGAAGGAAATGTAAAAATAATGAAAATCTGGGCAGAGTTTGTAGTTAAATTTATTTTTTTTTGAGAATAAGTTCAATTTTTTTAAACGAATTTTATGATTTCTGACACTTTAGGAGAAATTTTTTTTGTGGAAATGTAAAAGTAATGAAAATCTAGCCAGGATTTGTAAATACGTAAAATATTTGTCTTTGTTTAAAACAAATTAAGATTTTCAGAAATTTTATGGTTTCTGATACCCTTGACCTTTTTGTGAAGATATCTAAATTATTAAAATCTTGGCAGGGGCTGGACATCAAAGATTTGAAATTAAATACATTTTTTTCGGAAATTTTAACAAGTAGTTTATCGTTTCTGATACCCTTTATGAGAAATGTGAGGCCTTTTTTGTTCCCATTTCTGGCATGCTCTTTCCTTCCTGGTTGACGCAAATTCTTAGAAACCGTAAACAATTTTTTCCTCGTGGGTTTGGCGAACTAGTGACATTTTTAGTTTGTTTGTAGGATATTAAATATCCGCTTTTCGCTAATAAGCTCAGAGTAAAAAAACCTGGTATAAATCCTTCCAAAAATACTGTAAGGAAACATTGAAAAAAAACTCTGAGGTTAAAAAAGCCTCGTTTTTTTGTATAAATCCTTCCAAAAATACGATGCGGAAACATTGAAAAGAAGACGAAAAAACTCGGGGAAGCTTTTGCCTGTAAAAAATATCGAGGCGGCCGCGGCGACCATATGCAGATGACGATTTTTGACAACTTGTATACACACGAGAAGTCCGTGTTTTTGGGATGAATGTGCATCCTTAAATTCGAAAAATACTTTGTATGTGCTGGGATGACGTGCAAAATAAAATAAAATAAAATAAGCTGATGGATTTTATTCAGCAGCAGCAGATCTCCAGATTTTCGCCAGTGGTGGCGACAATGACGACGACGACGACGACCTGACAGGCGGCGGGCTCGATTCTGCTTCTGCTGCTGGCCAGGATAACGATTATTATTGTTATTGTAATAATAATACGGTTTTTGCGGTGTGTTACGTAAATAGTCGGAATTTGGTGTGGTATATGGGATGAAGGAACATGAAACAGATTCGGGTTTGATACGTGTGCATGTATATATTTATACATGTACGTACGAGTGGATAGATACGCAGCGAAGGGAGTGTGTGTGTAGGCGTGTTTGCATATCATTAACAAATTATTGGCGATTATATGATGATTTCATCAGAGTTTGGATACTTCCGAGGAACGAAGATTACTGAAAAATCCCCAAATAATAAAGCCCCCAGCTTGGATGGTTTAACATTCGAATTTTACAAGACATTTTCTACTCAATTTAGTAAAATTTTAAGCGAATTAGCAACATTGTCGTGTAATGATGGACTTTTGCCAAAATCTTGCAGGAGCTCTGTTGCCACCTTAATTTACAAGGCTGGTGACCCTAAAATTCTTAAAAATTATCGTACCATATCTCTGACCAACACTGATTATAAGATCATTTCAAGTTGTGTAAAGTCTCGTCTAAATATTGCCCTCCCTTCCATCATAGGTCCGTGGCAGACATGTGGTGTTAAGGGGAGGTCAATATTTGACAATTTGACCTTCATACGGGATGCTTTTCAGAGTGGTGAACTTGATGGGTTATTATTCAGTCTCGATCAAGAGGCCGCTTATGACCGTGTAAACCTTGAATATCTTTATAGGGTTTTAAAAAATTTCGGATATCCTGAAAATTTTATTAACTATGTGAAATTACTGCACACTGATTTCACCTTGGTGGTGTCGGTGGGCAGTGATCTCACGGCCCCCATATCAGTCGGAGTCGGTCTCAAGCAGGGTGACCCCAGTGCGAGTCCTCTCTACTGCATCGCGATCGAACCATTATTATTTAATTTGCATAGAAAGTTGCGAATCTCGGGCCCTAGCGCCTGGCGAAAACACCCGCACAAGTACCTCTCGGCGTATGCGGATGACACAAACGTCCTCCTTGGTCATCAGAGCCAAATCAGCATAGTTGAGTCGGAGTACGAAAAGTATTCACAACTTTCATCGTCAAAATTAAATGATCTGAAGTCAATAATTTTGATATTAGGTGCCCAGGCGCCCCCCTTAACTAGATTCCCTGTAGTTTCAGATGGGCTGAAAATTTTGGGAATTTATTTCGGAAATAATAATTTTATGGCACAAAATTTTACGATTTTGATGGACAAATTTGACTCCAAATTAGAATTTTACACCAAAAAGTGCGCACCTGTTAGTCACTTTTCACGCAGTAAAATCGTCAATACTTTTCTCAGTCCGATATTTTGGTACATATTTAAAGTACTAGATCCACCGTTGGGAATATTGGATGAGATTTCCAAGAAAATCGAAAATTACGTTTGGTCGGGGTCGAAAAGATGGGTTTCAAGACCCTACGTCTACTTACCGCAATTGAATGGGGGTCTAGGTGTGCGGAACCCAGCAGCCCAGATCGCAACTTTCCGTCTCACTTTGGTAAATAAGGTTTTGTCCTCTTGTAAGGACAATTATTTTCTCGCTGAATCTTTTAACCAAGTCCAATTATTAATTAATTCCGAGATTGTTAAACTATCCTATTTTTATAAAGAATTATACAGTGTGACCCAACGGCTTGGCGTGGGACTTGCCACGTGTAGCAGGGATTATTTACATGATATTATGATAGGTAGCCAATTTTTATTTAGGAATTTGAGTAATAATTATTTATCTCGTTGTACGATAGTAAAGGTTGGAGATCTCTACTGTCCGAACAAATTAAAATCCATTGAGGCATTACCAGCAGCAGTAAAAAGCATGCATTTTCGGAGAGGAAAAAGTATATTGATGTGGTTGGGATGGTAACCGACTCAACTGAAATAAAGCTTGACATTTATTCACTGTATAGTAAGTCAGAAAGGGTTGCGGTTGCCAAGGCAACCAACTACCTGCACTGCTTACGGGTGCACAATAAAATTAAACGGGAAGAGCTGGACGATGTCCTCTCCTCTCACCCACAGTGGCTCCGCTTAGCAACCACTCCAGTGTCAAACCCGGAAAAAGACAATGTCTTTAAGTTCTGGCACAATGTGGGTCTGACCCCTTCCATGGCACATTCACTTAAAATTTACACTAATTTTTCATGCCCGTTTTGCAATTTTTTAAAACCGAAAGTGGAACATTACTTAAAATGTCCACATACTTTAGATTTAAGAAAAATAGTAGCCAAATTGCTTACAAAAGTAAACATTGACTCGCGAGCCTTCGACGACGCCTTCCTTCATGGGGTTTCGCATGCGGGGGGAAATGTAATTATCTTTTATGCATATAATATTATTTATAAAGCATTTGTCCACCGATTAAATAATTACTCTGGCAATTTTGATCTCATTTCCTCTTTCCGTCACCTTCTTTATGGACGGATTTTGACTGATTTTTATGCATGCAGTATAAATTCGAGCCTTTTTCCTAAATTTCAAAAAAATTGGGACAAATTTTCTATTTATAAAATTTCCAAGAATAAAATAAACATTAATTTAGGGTTTTGATGCAATTAACTTTCCTTTTTCTGCATGATTAACCAATACCTAGTCGTAAATTAGTATGTAAGATAAACCCACCTAGTTTTATAATGTGATAAGATTTTACTATATATTTGATACGTCGTTTGTTAAGAAAACCTTGTAATTATATTAATTAATGATATTCTATGAATTCTGAAATTGTCCAAAATTACTAAAATTGTAACATTTTAAGAGGCAAGAAGATACGGGAGACAAGCACTGGCTTAGTTCCTACCCATGACGGCCAAATTTTGTAAAGCCTTGTCGAGAAGACGTCGCCTCAATATTTTTATAATAAATGATATGTATTTGATGATTTAATTTGAATATTTGGAATAAATTCGTGCGTTATGTTAAAAAAAAAAAAAGAAGATTACTGAATCTAGAGGGCTTTCACTTTTTACACGAGAAATTTGTACGGTTGTAAATTTTCGTATTTTTTTTAGATTTC